TTCGCAATTGTTCTCCCTCATGCCTTGAATGCTTTCCCTCCTCACCTTCACCTCTTAGTTCAAAGTGGAGCTTTCTTCAAGCCTCAGATCAAATCCTACCTTTTACAGGAGGCCTCATTCTCTTAGCTGCTAGTGGCTTCCCCATGGGATTAACTTCCATCTACTCTGTATGTATCTTGTATGTTCCTAATAATAATTATTTACATGTTGTTTTCCCCAATAGAATGTGAGCTCCTTCAAGGCAGGGACTGTTTTTGCCTTCCTTTGTATGCCTAGCACTTAGCACAATGCCTAGCATATAGTAAGTGCTTAATAAATGTTTATTGATTGAGTGCATATAAAAATGTTACTGTTATTATTTGATTCTAGAATTGAATTGCATGTTATAGATTGGTCAAAGTCCTATAAAAGATTGGAGGGGGACAGACTCAAGGTATATATGGAGAGGTTAGCCTTGACCAGGAGACTGAGACTAGAGGGGAGACTGAAAGGATGGATCAAAGACTCAAAAAGCATTGATTAAATGCCTCCTATGTGCCAGGCACTGTGCTAAACACTGAAAGATAAAAAAGACAAAAGACAGTCCCATTCAAGGAGAGACTCACAATCTAATGGAGGAGACAACATGAAAATACAAACAAGGCATATACCTATCTTGTTTGTTGTTTTCATGTTGTCTTTTCACATTCACATCATATCTTTATATCTATCTTGTTGAATACACACACACAATGTATATATTCATATGTACGCCAGATAAATTGGAGATAATTGATAGAGGCAAGGTACTACTAGCATGTGAGGCATAGATGAATGGTCAATCTGTACATTAGGAAGATTGCTTTGACAGCTGAGTGGAGGATGGGCTGGAGAAGGGGAAAGACTTGTGGGTGGCAGACCCACAGAGATGGATAATCCAGGGATGAGGGGATGTGAGCTTGCAGGGGCTAAGGCCTTTCAGTTGGTGTTATCTTTAGGCTCTATGAGCGTAGTCTAGATGTGGGATATGAGTTAGGCTATGAGAAAAGGCCTCAGTAACCCTGGTCCTCTTTACTCAAACAGGTAGGAAGATTGGAGATAGCCTGTTTTGGGTGCTAATGTTTGAAAGAGATAATGTATCAAGTTAGCATTAGTGCAGGCTTTAAGACTTCAGGACAAAAGGCTAACAAGGCTTTAAAAAATGATAAACTTAATAAAGCCTAAATAAAATGGGCATTTCCATATACACAGTAGAACAAAAAAAGAGTAATGCATATTAAATGACAAATTTCTATTATATATAGTTTGATTTTTTTAAAGTATATAATAAATTCAACATGTAACTTTCCAAGCCATACTGCTTGTCTGTGAATCTTCTGGGTCTTTCTTCTGTTACCTTCTATACATTTAAAAACACTTCAGTGAGGCTCTTTCTTTGGCCACTCTATCCTTTTGCCCCTCCTCCTCCTATCACTGGAGAAAGAAAGAAAATTTTTAAAAGAACAAAAAATAAAAAGCTTTGTAACAAAGATGCATAATCAAGCAAAGGACATTTCCAAACTGACCATATCAGAAAATGTCTTAGTTCGTATGTTCAGTCAGTTGCAACTGTCAGGAGGTTTATAACGTGTGTAGCAAAGCTTCTTACATGACACATTGACCCTTCTCCAGGTGGCTTAAGAAATATTCTTCCTTACGTTTCTTTTTCTTACAGGACAGGGAGTTACGTGGTATATATTAACTGGTAAGGGCATTGGGACAGAGCAGGCTGTCCTGGTTTGTATTGCTTCATCTCAACTACTGAACTTAATTGTCTTTTCTAAGTCCAGATTATCTCTGGATCCTTTTGCAGATTTTGGTACTGCATACTACCCCTTCCTGCTGGATACTCTCTCTTCCCTTGACTTCCAGAAGATTTCTTTATCTTATTTCTTTACTTGTAAGACAACTTGATCAGTCTCCTTTGGTTTTTCATCCATCTCCTGAACTCTAAACATGGGGGTTCTCCCAGGCTTACTCTTGGGCCCTCCACTCCTTGCCTCACTTTCTACTTTGGTAGTTGTCTATTTGGTTTATGATCATCTCTGTGCAGGTGGTTTGGAAATCGATAGATTTACCCCTCTTTCCTAAATCTTAATGCCATATCACTCACAACTAGGGGGACATCTCCATCCAGATATCACATGGGATCTAAAACTCAGTATGTTTACTTTGGAACTGATCATTTCTCCTCTAAACCTGTTTCTCCAAATTTTCCTAATTCTTTTGAAAAAAAAATTGATGCCTTTTGTCTTTAAATCACAATTATTTTTCATTCCCTTCAGATCGAACCTTCTTTTATGACAAAGAAGATCAAAGTAGCAAAAATAACCAATACAGCAATCTCATCTGCCAATGTATATAGTATTATACTCCAGTAGTAACCCACCTTCTTGCTGTGAAGGAATGGCTATGTTTCATTACCTCTTCACTGAGACCATCATTGGTTTTTCCATTACTTAGAGTTAACTTCATTTTAATGGTTCACTCATTTATACTGTATTCAGAGTGCCATGCCACATGATAGTATTCCCAATAGTGATATAGCTGGATCAAAGGATATTGACAGCATAATCACTTTTTTTGATTAATTTCAAATTGATATCTGGAATAGTTTGCTAGTATTTCATAGCTCAACCAATAGCATAGCAGTATGCATGTGTTTCCATTATCCTTCCAAAATTAACTGCCTCTTTCTTTTTTTAAATCTTTGCCAATTTTCATGCTATGAAGTGAAACATCAGAGTTGTTTAATTTGCATTTCTCTTACTGTTAGTGATCTGGAACCTGGTTTCATGTAGCCATTAATAGTTTGAAATTCTGCTTTGAAAGAATTTTCATTTTCTCTGACCACTTACCTTTGGGGGGAATTATGCATTTTGCCAATTCTTTGTATATTTCCCTATTTCTTTTGGGGGTGCATCATGTTCTCACTCACCCAGTATCATAACGTTGGAGTCATTCTTGAATCTTCCCACTTCCTCAGCTTAATCCCACCCCATCAGTTGGTTATCAAATGCTATTAATTTTACCTCTACAAAAGACTTGAATCAATCTCCTGTTTATCACTCACCCAACCACTGCTCTAGTTCAGGCCTTCATCACTTCTCATCTAAAATACTGAAATCACTCCTTAATTTGTTTTCTTTTTCCCATTCACTTGCCTCACCAATCCCTTCCACACTGGTGTAACCTTCATCAGGAACAGGTTCAGGCATGCCATTGCCCTTAAAAAGCATTCTCCATTACTTCTACAATAAAATGCAAACACCTCAGGCTGGCACTCAAGGCCCAATATAACCTGGCTCCAACCTACGTTTCTGGTCTTTTTTTACACACACCCTCTACATCCCAGCCAAACCATTCCTGGCTATTTCAGAACTTAGTGTTTTATCATCAATCTCTCAGCCTTAACATGAACCATCTTTTATTCCTGGAACGTCCTCCTTCCTCAACAGCTCTTCCTCCAAAGCTCAGCTCAGGTGTTGTTGCCTTCATGAATCCTTGCTTAGTCTCCCAGTTGTGCGCCCTCTTCCTGCTCAAATCATCTTCTAGTTGTCTACCTGAGTACATGCTGTATACTTCCAGTACAATGGACTCTCCTGGAGGCTACAGGCTGTTTTCTTCCCATCACCTAGCACAGTGTTTTGCACATGGCAGATAATTCATAAGGGCTCATTGATGTGATAGGACAACACTGTGTCTGGGAAGCTGAGGAACCTTTGTCTTTTCATGGTTGCACTGAAGTGAATCGGTGTTGGGGGAGAGGCTTGAGGCAGGGAAGTATTTAGAATGGTATTTTAATAGTTTAGGTAAGAGGCAACAATGGATTGGACTAGCGTGGTACAAAGATAAAAGGGAAGTTGGATGGCAGAAACATTTCAGAAACAGAATGGGCTGATGTCATGTGGGGTGCAAGGGAGAGGGAGGAGCCGAAGATGGCTTCGAGGTTTTGAGCCTGGAAAACGGGAAAATGGTTGTATCATTTACAATGATGAGGAAATCAAAAGGAGAAACACTTTGAGGGGGGAAGCAAGTACTTTGGTTTGCGTACCTTTGTAACATTACATGCCATAGAGGTAGTTTAGTTACAGGCACCCTTTTCCTCTGCCTCCCTCTTACAACCCTAAAAATCCGTTGAAGTGAAGTTCTCCAACTTCTGATTTTCTACTTGTTAACTGACGGGCAGGAGGTTACCTTATTTGTGAGTATGATAAAAGAAGAGCAAGAGACTATGTGAATGATCAGTGTATGTCTGATAGCATTTGAGAAAATTTTAATTATTTCAGAAATTAAAATGAGAATTTTAAATAAGGCAAACTAAAAAAGGGAGTTTAAATTCATGAGTGGTGACAATAATACAATTTTAGACAGCCAGCCATCTTCTTAAAGACAAGGCATCTTGGCATTTTGTAGCTACAGATCTTGTCTATGTTGCCCTCCAAATAATAAGGACTTTGTAATTGCATCATTCTTTTAAATTTTCAAAACACTTAAACACCTCTAATCTAATTTTATTTTCATGACAGCCTCCTAACAAATAGGGGTAAAGGCAACTGCCGAGTTCTCAAGGAACAGCAGCAGCCAAGACAGAACTGAAGGTTGGACTCTAGTGGGGCTCACTCTCACAGATGTTTCACCATCCTTCCAACATGACAAACATGGCTAAGTCTTTGGTGACTGAGTTTTGTCACTTCAATAAGTAAAATATTTCATTATTAATATTATTACTACTAGGGACTGAAATTTTATTTTTCTTTAAAATACTTATTTGTTCACAACTTGCCTTTTGTAGGCCTTTTACATTCTGGACCTGTGGTCCCATGATAATTTCTATGACCATACAAAATTTTGGCAAAAAAAAAGAAAACACTTTATTTTTGCAAACTATTTCTAGAATAGAGTACTTCCTATATGATTCAATGAAAACAAATACAATTGGACAATACAATGTTATTACTTTATTAACAGCTTATCCTTAGCTTATGATGCTTCATTATGTATTTGTTTACAAAGCAAATTATCCACTAACTTCTACAAAAGACAATAAAATATCTTGTAGCCTTGTTAAGAGAAAAAATATTCTCAGTATTTCTTCTTCCTAAAATCTCAACATTATAGATCCTGAGGATCTGCTGGTTCCTCTGTGTACTTAAGTCAATTTGTATGTTCTCAGCTTGTTCAGATTTCTAATGCACTGGAAGGAAAATCATTTTTAAGTTTGCATTGATTTATGGTAATATTTGTATTCAACAATCAAATGCTACACTATTTCCTTTTAAATGGTTATGCACCTAATTAATTTCACTTGTTTGACAATTAATTAGTTTCACAGATTACTATTTTTTTATACTGAACCTGACTATTGATAGTTGGAATAGTTACTGTATCAGATTACAATTCATGTTTTTCCAATCACACCACATAAAAAAAAAAACTTTTTGTATTTTGAAAAACGGTCCATTGCAATATCATCCAACAGCTTTCATAAATTTAATATAGTCTTCAACTAGTTTCTTCTTCTCATTTATTTTTTCCATTATTGCTTCTAATAAACATGCAGCAAATGGAAACTGGAAAAGAAACAGAGAAAGAAAAATGATTGTCAAAATTCTATATTTTCTTCAGTTAAAAAAACAAACTAAATATCAGCAGGCCATCAGATTTCATTCAGTTATTTCTGACAACTTTGCACATATTACTTTACCTTCCTCTGATCTCTTTAAAACTGATTTTTCTTGTTAAGTCTGGGTAATTTTGTCCTTTATAATAAAAATGATAAAAGAGCAGAAGTAAAATGAAAAAAGATAAACGCCTTATTGAACAATTCATGGTTTACTGACCATGTTAATGATGTAATCTGCAATACAAGGAGCTTTGCCATTTATCTTCAATCAGCTGATCAATAACAGGTTATAGTCATCTCTAGGGCCCACAAGCCTGTGAAAGTAGTACTGTTAGTTCATCACTCATATAAGAAGGAGAGAGAACTATCAATATACTTCCCTGTGTTATAGGGAAAGATCTCAACAGTTGTACAGTGAAACTTTAGTGTAAAAAAATGAGAAAAATATGTCCATTGATTAGGATGTTAGAGAAAAGTTTGTTTGGAGTATCAAAGTATAATAGACATGTTGCAGGCTGCTGAGTTTATATACTGAAGAGTAAGGTTTTGGTTAGCTTTGCAATTTATATAGCTTTTTGTAACTTAATCAAAATTTTGTCCCCTGTGCCTTACAAAGCTGTTTAAAGAACTTTTAGTCCCACCAAGACTGAAATTTCCCCTGCAATTCCCTTTCCCTCCCCTCCTCTCAGGGACACTCTTGTTCTTATAATTGGCCAAAGGAAATGATTCTTCTTAGGATATAGAAGTTTTTTCTCTCTCTTGTCTGAAACTTATCACTATGGAAATAATGAGTTAATACTTATCAAGAATTCTATAAAAAATGTTAAAGCTTCTAGAGAAATACATGGCAATTTAGCTCTCTAGCTTATTCAATGGTCTTGTTCTGGGGTTGATACAGGCTGCCTCCAACAAAACCATCAGTTAAGGAGTGTCAGTGAAGTGACAGCAGGATACTGAGGATTTGGAACTGGAAGTGACCTCAGGATCATCTAGTGTACCCTCTCCCTCTGACAGCTGGCAAAACTGAGGTCCTGAAAAGTCAGGAGTGAATTGGGAAGCAGCAGAGCCTGGATTCAAACCCAGGTCCTTGGACTCCAAACGTAGGGCTCTTGCCACTACACCACTTAGTACAGTGATACATGTAGTATCCTTAAAAAGTAGATAGGACCAGAATGATCGACATTTCCTATAAGGGAAAGCTGAAGCAAAAAAAGGGATTTGCTCAGTTTTTTTATGAAATTGTGAGATCTGACTAGACTCTGGATCTTACATATCTAGTGACTCCACAATATGGAATGAATGGCTTCATTTTATACAATGTTTTCCTTATACTTTAAGGGTCACTATATAAATTAAGGTGAATGCACTTTTCTGAGTAGATGAAATATAAAAAATAAATTTTTTTCTAATTGAGGTTCATTATCAAATTAGGGGATTTAATTTTTTCTGATGCTATTTTAATTATAAACCTTCCTTAAATTTCACTAGTTAGATAATAAAGTGACATCTGTTCCAAATTAATTTGTGATCTATGTTTATGTGTTCTAGCCTACAAAATTTGCTTCATTTTTTAAAGTTAAAAAGTAAATTTGTTTGATGGATGACATTTTACATGCTTTAATTAATGAGGGTAAAATAAGAATAAAACAATGTGAGGAAAATATATTACAAAAATATTCAAGTATGCTTTAAGCTTATTTTCATACTGTATATCAGAAACATTCTTAGCTTATTAAAGTGAATTCCTCATTGAATTTGGAAATAAACTATATTGCCCATGTAATTTCCAGTGTAAAAAAATATACATTATTGACATGAAAAATGCGAGATATTTTTCCTTAAAATATATAATTTCCAATGACAAAATTCAGAATTCTAATTTTTGTGGGAAAAGCTAACCCTAAACCCAAGCATACATCTTTAGGAGGCTAAGAATCACATAGTTCTTGGTTTATAAGTATTAAACTGATCCTACTAAATTATTTCTAGGATATAAAAATGGTCTTGAGGGGCAGCTAGGTAGTACAGTGGATAGAGCACCGGCCCTGAAGTCAGGAGGACCTGAGTTCAAATCTGGCCTCAGACCAAACACTTGACACTAGTTGTGTGACCCTGGGCAAGTCACTTAACCCCAATTGCCTTAAAAAAAATGGTCTTGATATTTAAACCAGGGACAGTTATAACAGAGAAAGAAAACTATAGACCAATTTCCTTAATGAACATGGATGCAAAAAACTTTAAATAAAATATCAGCAAAGAGTTTATAGAACATAATCAAAAAGATTATGCACCATTACCAGGTTTTATTTATATCAGGGTTAGAGCCGAATTAGTTCAATATTAGGAGAACTGTCAACATAACAGTCCGTGTTAACAACAAAACCAGCAGAAGTCATATGATTATATTGATAGATGCAGAAAAAGTTTTTGAGAAAATACAACTATTTCTATTTAAAATACTAAAAAACATAGAAATAAAGGGATCTATCCTTCACAGGATAAGTAGTATTTATCTAAAGCTAAAAATCAACTTATATGTAATGGGGATAAACTAGAGGGCTTTCAAAATAAGATCGGGGGTAAAGCAAGGATGTCCTTTATCTTATAAAATCTAGCAATAAAACAAGAAAAGTAAGTGAAAGGAATAAACATAGCCATAAAAGGAAATAAAATTATTACTTTTGCCAATGATAAGATGCTTTACTTAGAGGACACTGGAGAACCAACTAAAATTAATCAAAATAATAATTTTACCAAAGGAGCAAAATACAAAATGAATGCACATAAATTATAAACATTTCTGAATATAGCCAACAAAATCAAAGACGAAGTGAAAGAAAGAGAAGTGCATAAAATATTTGATAGTCTATCTACCAAGATATACACAGGAATTATATGAAATCAACTACAAAACATTTTATGGAAATAAACACACACTAAGTAACTGGAGAAACATTAATTGTTCATGCGTAAACCAAGCTAATATGATAAAAATGATAATACTACCTACATTAATTTATTCATACCATACCAATCAAACTACCAAAGGATTACATTACAGAGCTAGAAAAAATAACAAAATTCATCTGTTAAGGTTAAGAATTTCAAGGAAAATAATGAAAAAAAGAGAAGGGAAGGTACCTAGCAAAAACAGATCTCAAGCTATACTAGAAAGTAGTAATCATTAAAACAGTTTGTTTTGGTTAAGAAATAAAGAGGTTGAGCAGTAGAAGAAATTGGGACTGTAACATACAGAAGCAAATAAACAACTCATCTAATGTTTGATAAACCCAAAGACTTCAGGTACTGGGGTAAGGACACACTATTTGACAAAAACTGTTGCGAAAACTGGAAAGGAGTATGGCTGAAATTAGATTTAGAGCAACACCATGTATCAAAATAAGCTCCAAACTGATACATGACAAGTATAAAAGGTCACATCATAAACAAACCGGGGAGCAAGGGAGAAATTCGTTTTGAGATCTATGAATGTGACCAAACAACGAACCTAGAGGATCATAGTAGATCAAACAGATACTTTTGATCATTGTTGTTGTGCAGTTGTGTCTGACTCTCTGTGAATCTATTTTGTCATTTTCTTGACAAAGACACTAGAAGGGTTTCCTTTTTCCCTCTCTAGCTCATTTTATAGATGAGGAAAGTGAGGCAAAGAGGGTTCAGTGACTTGCTCAGGGTCACACATCTAGTAAATGTCTGAGGCTGGATTTGAACTCTCTTCATGACTTCAGGCCTGGTGCTTTATCCACTGGACCACCTTGTCACTTTTTCAACAAACAAAACCAATGAAGCTATGATTAGAAGGAAAATAGTTAATTAGGGGAAAAATCCTCGAAGTACATTTCTCTGCTAAAAGTCTTATTTCCAAGATCTATAAAGAAACTGATTCAAACTTATAAGAATAAGATATTCCTCAAGTGAAAAGTGGTCCAAAAATATAAACAGGAAGTTCTCAAAAGAAGACATGCAGGATTAAAATAGGCATAAGAAAAAAAATTCTCCAAATCACAAGCAGAGACATGAAAATTAAAACAACTCTGTGGTTCTACCTTAGACATGTTAGAATGGTGAAGTTGATATTAAAGGAAAATGACAAATTTTGGTGAAGTTGTGAAAAAATAAGCATATTAAATACATGATTCGCTAGTACTGTCAATTTGTCCTGCCATTCTGGAAAATAATTTGGAATATTCTTGAAAAGTTATAAACTGTGCATACCTTTTGACTCAGTGATACTGTTACTAGGCCTGTGTCTCAAAGAGACCAAAGAAAGTGGAAAATAACCCATAAGCACAAAAATATTTGTAGCAGTTTTTTTTTTACAAAAAGAACTGGAAACTAATGGAGTATCCATCAATTGGGGAGTGACTGAACAAGTTATAGTATATGAATGTAATAAAATATTAATTTGCCCTAAGAAATGATGAAGGTACAATTTCAGGGAAAACAAATTGGGAATGTGTAAATGAACTGATGCAGACCAAAGAAAGAAGAACCAGTAGAACAATTTATATAATAAAAATAACAATACATAAATGAATGACTTTGAAAGATTTACCTTTTATCAACACAATGATTAACCATGATTCCAGAGGATCTATAATGAAGAGGGTTATCTACTTCCCGAAAGAATGGAGATAGACTCAATTGGAAGAACGAGACATGTATTTGCAGACAAACAATGTGAGAATTTGTCTTGCTTTACTATGCATACGTTACAAGGGTTTCATTTATTTATTTTTTTAGTAGCAGGGAGAAGCGAGAGGAAAATAAAATAAATATTTGTTAGTTAAAAAAAATAATGCAAGCTATATGCCCAATGGCCAATAAGTGGAAATACTATTGAAGGAACTAAACCACTAATATTGACATTTATAATATTAATGAAACCAGAAGACACAAAGAAGTTACAGATAAATGAAAGGATGT